GGAGCGGCACGACTTCATGGCGCCGCCGGTGAGCGGCCTGCGGGAGCTGCGGAGCCGGCGCGGCGAGATGCGGAGCCGCGTGGAGCTGCTGCTCATGGAGACGCAGGCGCGGGTGTGCCGCGCGCTGGCGCAGCTGGACGGCGCCGCCGCCTTTTCCGTGGACAGCTGGGAGCGCCAGGAGGGTGAGGATCCCACCGCTCCTCGGGCCCTGCCTTCCCCCTCCGTGTCCCCCCTACCAAGTCCTCCTGGTCAGCCCCCTCCTGGCTCTGCCCAAGCGGGCTGTGGGTCACAGCGACTCTCAGCGAGCGGATGGTGGCCCAACAGGGGTGTAAGAGTGTATGGAAAGGTCGTGAACCAGCTTTACGAATGGGTCCACGAACTTTAAACGTTGCTTCTCTTGTAAAGGAGGAAAATGGGGGAAACGGTGGCTTTTCCCTTACAGGCTGGCAGAGTCCAGCCTGCGAGGGGCTGCCTGAGGCCTTCCTGGATGGCACCCTGTGCGTTGGGTGTGAGGGGCACTGGGTCGGGATTGACCGTTGATGTTTACAAATGGGTTCTGGTACAAACCAGGTTGAGACCCACTGGTATATAAGACCAGGAAGGAGGCTCTGGCAGGGAAGAATCCCAGGGGGAGTGTGGGGCTGCTTTCCTGGCACTTCTCCGATTGCATATCCAGACAGTGTTTCACTAGGTCCGCCTCTACAGGCTCCCTCAACTCCTTCAGTGGGCAGTGGGTGCTGGCTGGTGTGCACTGTTTGGTGTCCCTTTCCAGTGCCCTAGTTATTAATCTGTGACCTCACTGGTTTTTGGGTTTTTTTCTGGTCCCACGCATTTACTTGATGTGTCCTCAGTGGTCTCCTTTATTCAGGGAGGCTGATAGTTCCCTGTCATGGGCAATAGCCCATGACCTTCTCTCTGCACATCAAATAGGTCTGGCCAGGAAGGAGGCTGTGGCCAGGAGGGTCCTCTGGGACTGTGGGGCCACTTTCCTCACCCTAGTTTGCTCCCGTCTCCGAGCAGAGCATCACTGGGCAGTGTCTGCTGGTGCCTTCGTGTTGCTTGAAGGCCAGTGGGCATTGTCCAGTGTGCTCTACTCAGTGTTCCCCCTTGGCACTCTTGTTTTGAACCTGTGACCAGCACTCCCATCCCTGTTTTTTTTATCATTGGTCCCACAGAATCTGTTGGCACTTTTTCCTGTATCCTCCCTGCCTGAGGGAGGCTAATAAGAAACTTGGTGGGCTATGCCCACATTCTTAAAGGTGACAAATAGGTCTGTCTTCTTGTCCGTTCATGACCAGGTTGGTCCCTTCCCCTCCCTCCTCGCCCCAGAGTACAGATGAGGGCCAGTCTGGAGCAGGAATCAAAGGGGCCTCCACCCCTTTGTGGGGTGGGGGCAAGTGCCCCCACCTGGATCTGCCCCTGAACTTCTCTGTGCCAGCCTCCATATCTTCCATGACTTGTTTAATCTCTAAGATATATTATTTGCTGTGCTGCATGAAAAGGCCATGTTGTTGCAGAAGGAGGCATGTTAAGCATGCAGAAAAGTCTGTGAAGGGGAAAGGTGTGATAGCAGTATTCACATATCTGACAGGCTGCCATAAGGGAGTGGATGTTCCCTCCTGTGTTGTAGAGGGTAGGTGATGAAGCAATGGCTTTATGTTGCAGCAAAGTAGATTTATATCAGAAAGAAAAAACTTCCTTATTGGTAGAACAAGGAGGCAGCAGAAAAGACCGTCCCAGGGAAGTTGTGGAATCTTCTTCATTGAAGGTTTAGGAGAAGAGGTTGGGGAAGTGTTGGTCAGGGATGATCTGAGTAGCATATATTCATTCATACTGAGGGTTGAGATTCCTTATGGCCCTATTGTTTTATGGCCAGTGTGTCTAGGTGCTGTTTTGTTTTAGCTTGCTTAGTGACATAATATTCCCCAAGGCAGAAATTCTGCGTGTTGTTTAAAATCACCTGGAAAAGAAGAGTGCTATGTAATCAGGGCTGGAATAATTTAACCAGACCATGTCTGGCCATAAAAATATGCTGTTAGCCCGATGTAAAGCAAGAGAGAACCTACCAGTGAGGTCAAGAAACATGTTTATAAAAACTGGTTCTACTGCAGGACCTCTCCAGGTCTGGAAAGAATTGGCTGTTGGTCTGTGGACCTTGTTATGATTAGTAGGTATCTAATTAAATTTGAAGATCCCTCTGCTGTTTGACTATGAAAACTAGTTGTTTTCCATATCTCCCTGTCCCCCCACCCCCAAACCTTTGCTCCCCTCAGTAGCTTCCTAAGTAGGAGAAAGGAGTAGGGGGAAATGGTTTCTACCACTTTGTGCTTCTTTGTATGTCTCCAACTTTGCATCTCTGCTGCCCCTTTTGAGTCCTCCTTTCACTTGAACAACTTCCGTGTCTGCAGACAGATTGCTTTCCCAAGCAACACCATGATACTGACCTAATAGTGACAGTTCTCTTGTTGCTGTCCTGGTTCTGAATAGAAGCAGTGAAATGGGCTGGAGCCTTTTTAATCTAACACTGTCATTCCTTAGCACACTGGTTCTCAACTTTTTTCCTACCAGGACCCGTTTGCAAAGGTTCATGGCTTGTCCCAACCCACACTCCCCTGGCTCTGCCAGTGCGTGAACCACAATCCCCAGTCTCCCTGGGCCATGCTAGTGTCCTTCACTCTTGACCCGGAGCCCCTGACTCACCCCCAGCCCTGCTGGTGTCCCTCACTTCCATCCCACAGTCCCCTGCACCCCAGCCCTGCCAGAGGAGCCCCCGGCTGTCCCTGTCCTGCTTGGGCCAGTGTGTGGTGGCCACTGTGGCTCCAGCTCATGCGGGCAGCAGCAGAGCAAGTCCAGCCCTAGCACAGGCTGGAGAGAGAAGGAGGGGAGGCCTGTGGCAGCCCCTGCCCTGGGCTGGGGCTGCTATACCACGCCAGGCAGCCTGGTCACAGCGCCCCCCCCCAGCAGCAGCTTCTAGCTGCCCTGCCCCTGTGAGCACCCAGCCCAGCCTTGCATCTTTCCCCTGTCCCTTCTCACTGGAAGGGGCCGGCGCCTTCCCGCCGCCACTCTGCCCTTCTGCAGTCTCAGCACTTTCCCGGGATCAGTGTTTCTGAACCCGTGGCTCGCAACCCTCTGAAATCTTCTTCCCAAAAGTGGGTCGCAACCCATGGGTTGAAAAATGCTGCCTTAGCAAACTTATAAATCACTGTGTAAGCATAGGAGCCCTCTGTAAATTTGGAAGGATTGTGCCTGGCCATCTGCTCATATTCTGAGGACACTTTGTTGCTGTAAGATGTGGAGTTTTGCTTTAAATGAAAGTTTAAAGTCTGTATGCATTTCCCCTTCCTCACGCTAGCCAAGGAATGCTTCATTCATATTGCTGGCAAATGGAAGACAAGCTTTTCCAAGGTTTCTAAATGACTTGGGGTATTCTTAGTATGTAAAAGCCACTGGCTTTGGTAGAACATCTCTCTTAAATGGTGACAGTGAATTAAGAACAAAGCGGGATATTCTAGTTTTTTGTATTGCATCTTGCTAAATAGGGCCACATTTTCCTTTTGAAGGTGTGGAGCTATGTAAAACTAATTTAGATTCAAAATACAATACTATTGCGACCCAAGCAAAGATATCCCTTCTTGCTGCTTTCAGTAGCTTTGTCCTGAGGTTTTAAGCAAAGCCTCTGAAGTTAAAAACTGGCTGTTATATTCTGCTCACAGTGACAAGTGACTAGTATAGCTGCTTTTCTAACCAGCTTTTAATAATTCCTTTCTGTGTGGTTCCAGTGACAGAATAAATTTGTTCTCTAAGTAGTTCACAGTCTGTGGTCATCTGGTGAAATGTACTGCTTCAGGAAGTCATCACTACCAAATACTATAGATGGATTTTTAAAAGCTGGGTAATTTTATGAATAACACTCGTTAGTCATTCACAGTAAGATTTTTTTTTACCATGTTTTAGAGGTTATAGTGATCAGTATAAGAATATGAAAAACTGTACTTTTCTTTCTGTCCTTTCCCCTCTCCCTCGCTCCACACTGTCCACTACCACTGTTGTCTTACAAAACTGGCAAAATGCATTAAGGGCAGTGAGGGAGGGCTCCAGCAAATGCGTGAGGAGAAATCTCATGAGTTGAATGGTCACTTTTATGCTACTAGTAAGTGGTCAAGCATTTTACACTGTATAATGTGCTTCTAAGACTTGAAATGCACTTTGTCTCCGATAGGTGGTGGTGGCATCAGCTGTGTGCTTCAGGATGGCGATATCTTTGAGAAGGCAGGTGTTAATGTGTCCGTAGTATTTGGTCATCTTTCTGAGGAAGCTGCACAACAGATGAGAAGCAGAGGGAAAACTCTGAAGACTAAAGATGGTAAAAACATGCTAATAAACTTGATTAACTTTACAGTGTTACTGAATGGGTGCATAGGAGGCAGATGTGAGACTGAAGTATTGCCTTATAAGCCATATCATCTGCACACATAATATGAAGAAAACCAAGTGTCTGAATGAATTTCTCTCTTTGTGCTCTATAATTCATTTAATAAAACGACAGGTGTTTGACTGAATCACCTAGCTTGGAAACTTTCAAATCTCCCATGGCTTGCATATCAATATGTTTCATCTCTTGTCTTGCTCCTCTCTTGAGTGCAGAAGTCAAAGTCCTCTCATGTCTGGCAGCCTGTAAGGTTAATCTGGGCAAGGTAGACCAGTTTCTGTAGCCAGTGGCACATGACAGAATGATGTAGTCAGCATTAGGGCTGTGCGAATCTTTGGTTCCTGATTCTATTCAACGGAGATTCAGCCCAATTTGGTGGCCAAATCTCTGAATCCGAATCAAATCAGAACCCTCTGAAGAGATTCGGAAACATTCGGTGATTCAGACATAGAAACAGCTTTAAATGTTTTTTCTACATACCTCAAGGTACCAAGCAGCTCATGACTGCTGTGATGCTGGGGCGGATGGAGTATCCCATGGGAGCACAGGTTGTGGGGGCTCGCCAATGTGCTCGGCAGGAGATCCAGAAGTGGACCAGAAGCACTTCTGGTCCACTTCCCAGTCTACCGGGGAGCGCATGGGGGGGGGGTCCCCTGGCTCAGCGACTGGTGCTTCCTGGGTCTTAGGAGGCACCTGGGGTCCCCCTGCAGCCAATCGCCGAGCCAGGAGGGGCCCTTGGCGCGCTTGCCAGCAGACCCAGAAGTAATTCTGATCGACTTCCGGGTTTGCTGCTGGGGGGGTGGGGGGGGGCGGCGCGCTGGCTGTGCTTCTATGGGACACTCCATCCGCCCCAGTATCTCAGTGTTCACGAGCCGCACACTGATACATACCTCGAGGTATGTAGAAAAAACCTTTAAAGCTGTGTCTGTGGCTGAATTGCTGATTCTCTGAATCGGCACCAAATCTTCAGATTCGCATTCGGCCGAATCTGATCGAGAACAGTGATCTGAATCAATTAATCGAATTGCTGTCCCCCATTCGGGCTGAAATCCGAATCACATACCCCTAGTTAGCATCATGTCTCACCACCTTTGACTTCCTCGCCTAAACAAACACGGGCTTATTTACAACTGTAGGTGGTCTTTGGCATGAGTCCAGAGCAAGGCTTGAACCCTCACTTCTCAAGTCTTAGCAAAATGCCATAACTCCTCTCCTGCCTGGATACACAGGGAACAAGTGTATGAGGTGTTTTGGGTGCCATTTTGGGGTCTGTTTTCTGACCATGAGAACGCTGTAATAAATGACTGAGCAATGTGAGAGTTTGAGATCACTGAATTTTTTCATATTGCAAATATTGTGATTTGTTTGGCGAGGAGACTGCATACACACAGTACCAGCTCTTTGCCGTACATTTTAGCAATAATCCTGAGAGAGAGCCTTTAATTCTTAATTAGCTCCTTTTTGTGAAACCCATTTTTGTAGTCCCCCAACTTCAATGAGATTCTATACAGAGCTAGTTGTTCTAGGAATGGAGCCATGGTTTGAAAGTCTTCATGGTGCTGGTTTCTCTTCTTTAAAATCTACTTCTTATGTGCTTGTTGCTGTCTAGGTAAACTACCATTTTGTGCCATGGGTGTAAGCTCTGTTATCCACCCAAAGAATCCTCACGTTCCAACTATACACTTCAACTACAGATATTTTGAAATTGAGCAAGCAGATGGTAAGATTCATAATCTCAAGTGTGTTGAAATATGGACACAGACTTGATTCGGAGGAAGCATAATATTGTGGTTAGAGCAAAGAATTAAGACTGGCTTTAGTTCTGTTTCCAGCTGTGCCCTAAGTTTATTAGATCACACTGGGCAATTTGAACCTTAAGCCTTTGTTTATGCTTTTTAAAAAATATGTATAATAATACTTGCAACTACCTTAAAGGCATTTACAACTTAATTGCTGCTTGTAAAGTGATCAGTGCAGGATATTGTAATTCTAATTGTTTAAGACTGAGTATAACATGAGTGAGACATAATGCCAAGGCAGATAAATGTTAATAATACAATTCATGGGAAAATCAGAGTTTAAACATCTTTCCCGATTATTGACAGTAATTCAAACTGACTCTGTCCTTTCTCATGGGGTTAAAAATTGTAAAATGTAATAAATGTGAATGTACCCTTTTAAAATAGCCGGGCAGATAGAGAGAGAATTCTGTGTGAAATTTGGTTTATTCAGAAAAGTGTAGGGATTGCAACGTTGTTTCTCTTTTTCAATAAAGAAAAAGGGGAATTTAGGGTCTTGTGGTCCACATCTGACAATCCCTGCTGA